TTACGCCTATAGGATTTAAAGGGTGCTCTTCAAAACACCTGTCGAACACCTCCTAATCGAGTACAAGTTCAAGTTCTTTATTGCCGTACAAAGGTACAAGCCCGGTACCGTATAAGCACAACCGGTCTAATCGAGTACAGTCGATCCCCCTATAACACTGTTGATTATTCCGTTTTATATGAATTCCATGTTGTACGAGTCACTTAGATTTTACAAATACGTGTGCCGGGCTGTGAACGGCTCACGTATTTGTGAAATTTAAGTGACTCGTACAACACGGAATTCATATAAAACGGAATCATCAACAGTGTTATAGGGGGGGGTCGACTGTATCATTTTTGCATAAACGTAAAGTGAGAAAAAAGGCATTAATAATAATAAAACTTTCTGCGGTTAGTCGAGGGATAATTTTACAAAAATTTTCTTTGGATATTTTTAGTTAATGAAAGTGAAAATTTCTTACAAATGTCTCCTAGGAACACTCCGAGTTTGCGTAGTTTTGAATACCACCGGTCGATTTTATCACGTCTCGTGTGTATGTGTACACGTCCTAGTTCTATTTATGGAAATCTTAAATACACTTACGTAAGATTCGCTGGCGTATTAATAAATTCTATATATAAAAAAAATATAATCTCTGCATTTAAAAATTCTCTCTCTCTCTCTAAAGTCAACTTTAATAGAGTAGAATAGTAAAGAAAACTCCGAAGATCGAAGAGAATCGACTATATTGTGTTAGTAATTCGATTAGTTTCGTCGTGTTTACGACGGGAGTAACGCATTATTCCACGTTCCTAACGCAAACATCGCTAGTGTAGTATATTGTTCTTCTCGTCAGCCTATTTAAATAAGCTTTTCGACCCGTCGTTTATCTTTATTTAATGAACGTATGTTGTAAAATTATTTTTGTAGTAATGCTCGATAATAAGAGCCGTAAATAGAATACTTATTTCAACTATACAATGGAGAGGCTTTTTAACTTTAACTCAACAGGTGTTATTACTTACAAACCGAATTCTTGGTCGGTTATCTGTTGGTGGCATTTGACGTGTCTTCCCATACATCAAATGAGAAATGCCAAAATTTAAATCCCTTTTAATAATATAGTATACTTGGAAATTAAGTTATATAGTTAATAATACAAATATAGATGGTATTAAGTACAGTACGTAGATTTACAGTAGTGTTATTTGATTTTCTGATATGTATAATTGTCAATCATCGATGTCGTGTAGATGGCTTGACGATTTCCTGCAATCTTGGCATTTATCTTCCTTATTTTCTATTACTCATTTCGTTACAATAAAGACAATTTGCATCCTCCGTACATTTAAATAGCTTTGTTACTTTTTTTCTTGTGTCCGTCTTTGCTACTTCCTTTATTATTTTCTTTTCGATTTCTAATTCAAATCGTGATTTCATCTCGATAATTCGATTTTCATTTTGTGTTTGCAATTCGTCCTCGATGCCAACGATTTTTACGTTAGAAATTTGATGAGATTTGGGATTTAAAGAAAAATTGTTAAAAGTACAAATACTCGGAGGAATTATCTCTATTCTCTGTATCTAAATTTGATATTTGAATAGACCATTCTGTTATTAGCGAGGTTGCGGCCGAAGTTTTCATCTGTAAAACGTGAACGTCGAACGTCGAACGTCAAACGTGAACTTCGAACGTCAACGTCGAACGTCGAGCGCCGCTTCTTGTAAGCGGCGCTCGACGTTCGACGTTCACGTTCGACGTTGACGTTCGAAGTTCACGTTTGACGTTCGAAGTTCACGTTTGACGTTCACGTTTGATATTCGACGTTCACGTTTTAGAGATGAAAACTTCGGCCGCAACCTCGCTATTAACGTAACGTTTTATACGTATCTTCCACCTCTTATTTGGCTCAAAATTCGTTAAAATTCATATTCCTAATAAATTCCATGGTTATTATTTTTTTTCTTTTTTGCTCTTTGTCCAAACAATTCTCGTCTCGACCAAGAGAAATTCCAAATACAGAACAGTTACAAATACATTTGAAAGTAAGGCTGTTAGTCATTTTATAAATCTATGTTCCTTTAACAATACATTGCGATGAACTCATTTATTTTTCCTGATAATTTTAGAAAGCGGAGATTCGATAATGTGTGTATTAAAATGGATGGACGACGATACGTTGGGAGGGGGGTAAAGAGATTAAAATAATGCTATTCTATCGACAGAGGATTAAATTAAACCATAGAAAATTAAAAATAATCGATACAAGTTTAAGTCACAATATTCCGACGTCTTAAATAAATCTAATTCCGGTCATTAAGAGAAAAGTAAGAAAACATCCGTAAATTAATTTATTGCATAATGTATTTTAAATGAGGATAAAAGACGGCATTAACTTTGTGTTCGATAAAGAATAAGCACCGGCTTCTGTGGAATAATAAATCGGAAACACTAACAAAGCCTAGAAAACAAAATGTATTATGTCGTATGTACTGTACAGTTTGAAGAAATTACGATCACATTATGTACAGTACATTTGAAATCAACAGTGAAAGGAAAATTATTCTTAATACATCGCAATTCCTTTCACTAAACGCACTGCAAAGTGTATTTAAAACCTAAATATTTGGGCACAGATACAATTACTTTGAAAAGGATTTATCTACGCCCGCTTGATGGCAATTTCTGTACCTGTAAGGCTTACAGGTATGTTTTTTAAGGGATTGTACTGTATTAGAATACCGGTGTACCTGTGGCAGCGGCTCCACCAACCAGCATGAGTTTTCAGGGAATGATCTCACCCCAAACCCGATAAACACAACAAAAAGTAGGTGTGTGTGTGTAAATTCGCTATAGTGATGTATACGGTAAGATGACCCTCTCCAATCTCGAAAAACATGACCAATAAAAACGTTTAAAAACTTTTTTTTAATATATATTAAAATTATTTAACTGGTGTCTCGGGATATGAATTTTTCAAATTTTTCATCCGACATTCCGCATACCAGTGTGACACATCTTTTTCCTAAAGTTGGCTCAAAATTGAATTCAAAATCGCGTGTCAAATATTTAATTTCGGTAATTAAAATGTGGAAGCACTTTTTTTATTGTGTTATTTTTAATTTACCCTTCCTTTCACACGATCCGATTTGGCCACCGTGCCTTATCTGAGTCAATGGTGTCTACACACGGCCACGGGTGAGAATTTTGACGTATTTGTACGAAATTAGCCATAAATGAAATCGATTATCTAACTTTAAAATTAACTCTGTGTGTGTTTTTTCGATCGATATTTGAATATCAATCTCCTATCGTCGTGACAAATACTCAAAAGCATCTTTTATTACTGTCGTAGCCTGCGGCTGACGTATCCCAAAATACTCGAAAAGCCGTTAGATATCGGTTTTCTTTTCCGTCTGCCATTAACTTGTCGAATTTAACGGGTATAACAATACGTTAGCGCCTGTATTTTACCACAATCAAAATATATAAAGAATGTCGGTAGCCTATATCTTCTTCGCTCGTCTATAGACGTATATAATCTGTCTCGGTCGATCGACACCACCACCTAGGGCTACGGATTTCGTCACTTTATTAAAATCGCCATTTACCCCGTCGTAAATAATAATAATAAACGATATTTTTAAATTTAATTCTTTCCATCGATTTGGAATTTCTTATACAATTTCCATATTATACCATACAAATGGCGGAGTAAAGACACTGCGATTTATGGAGGGAAGTTTCCAATTATGTTTCCAGCTCGTTTACGGCAAACACCGAAGCGTACCCACGCCCAAATTTCCCGGAAATTGAGTGGTATTCGTATTGCTCCCGCGTATTGGGGAGTTAAATAATAACCAAACTTGGGATTGACGTAAAGACCAGGTAATTTCGATGGTCCGGGTAGAAAATAATGCGACGAGAGACACATGGAGGTTAGTAAAAATTCTAATTTTAACGGAACAGGGCTTAATTATCGCCTCTTCCGAAAAAAACTCCCTTTTCGGTTGTGCTTTTCCACCTTTTATTTGCATTTGCCAAGACCTTGGACGTGAACTCCCTTTTCTCTTGTACTTGGATACATTTCTACCGTTCACTGTGCGCTTTTATCTCGTTTCTCCTAAGTGTTAAAGAAGAAAGTAGAGGACGAGAGGGAAGAGAAATGGGAGCGAGAGAAATGTCATTTATTCGGGCGAAAGTAAAATTTCTTAGTATGAAGATAATGGGGTTCTATCTCTTCGTAAAATTCACCTGCCTTCCTTTCCCTACTGTCGTATTTGTTTGGTTAAATCGTTCCGTATTTCTCACATTTTTCCCGGAAGGTGACCAAAAGGAAGGAATATTTATGAACCTTTTTTACCTACGGATTTACCAATCGAACTTTAAGTTCTTTTTTCGTATCCGGCGGAATCGAATGACCCCATCGAACGTACGGTACGTCGGAACCGGAAGGACGTGCGTAATCGAATATAAGCTATATTAAATTATTAATTTCCATTAAATATTTGTAATTTCCGACCGGCATTTCATTAAACGCATTTTTCCGGGGTGAAAATTCCGTCGTCCTTTTATATAACGGCCGTCGGACGATAAATAATTTCCCTCCCCTTTTATCGACGTAATCGAGAGGGGGGAGGGAAAGAATTTTACCCGAAAGGCCGGGCGGGATTTCTCCACCCCCCCACCGCTCATAATTCCCCTCCTCTTCCGCAAATTTATATCTTTGGCATTTTATTACGCCGCGAACACATTTCTCTCTCCTTTTCTCCGCATAATTGTCGCCCCGTCTTCCCTTCTATGACCGATAACGTCTTATAAAATAATACCGGAATAACGGTAGCCGCTTTTCCCCCAAGAATTAATTTTCCTTTAAAAAAAAGTACAAGTTAAATTTGACTTTTATTCGTTTAATCCGTATTTTTAAATAATAACCGAATTAAAATTCCGGAAAAAGTTAACCGTTCCACCGTCCCGAGGAGAAGAAAATTAACAATAAAAAAGAAACAAAAAAAGGTCCCAAATAGCAATTTTTAATCCCGGATTACCCGAATCGGAGAAGGATTTAAATGGTTACCGGATGCTATAGTAATTAAACTCGCATTATTTAGTAAGGGAAGGTTTACCTCCCTTCGGAAATCCATCGGTGGAAAAGGGCAAAAGAAAACAAAGACGATTTTTCTTCGTTTGCTTTTCCTCTTTATTTTCTTTGGTCTGTGGATGTCGCGGAGATTAAATAATTCATCGGAAACTAAAATTAAAAAGTCGCGTGTGCGATAACGTCGATAGTTTACAAGTAGGAATCATTAAGAAGGATTAAAAGACGTTTTATCGCCGCAGGATTTGCAAAAATATCGGAATCATTGTTGACTTTTGTCCTGAAAGTTTTTGGCCGACAGAACCAGGTCGGGTTGAACACAGTTTTGATTCTGGCATTTTTCGATGTACGAGGGATGAATGGAATAAATTCCGGAGTCTTCCTGCTGCATCAGCGTTTCTAGGATTTTCTCTTTGCTAATCACTTTCGTGGGTAAAACGTACTGTTAAACCAAAAGAAAAATTCTTTATCCCTCTTAATTATCTAAAAATTCCTTCCCTTCCCCTCTTCTAAATTGCTTCAGGCGTTAATACGATAAAAGGCGTGAACGATTTGGTTCTTACCTGAACCAGGTCTTCAGGCGATATCTCGTTCAGTTTCAGGTCTCTTATTAATCTATTCATGGTGAATTGTAGTTCCTGTTTATCTGCATTCAATAAGAATTATTACTTGACTTTTTACTTATAAAACAATTCCGAATAGAGAGTTTTTACCGGTGTTTCGCGAATATAGAATAGGACTTTATATATTATAAGGTCTTCTTTTCTTACCTGGGCATCTCATGTTTTTGACTTTGTTTTGCGCCCACTCGTACATGATTTCGAATTTCTTAACTTCGGCGATGTTCAGCTTTCGGCTGATGATTGTCTGAAGCATGGATTCCGAAAGGCTCAAGAAATCTTTTCTGCAAAACAGCTGAGAAGCTTTTTGGTCCACGTGTTGCAGAATCATTGTCATCAGTTCAGTGGCGGCCGTGTACCTCCAGTAGTAATTTTCCAAAGCGTTTAACATGGAGCAAACCTTTTATTATTGATTCGATTATAAAAAAAAAAATTTGATTTAAAAAGAATTTTTTCCGTAAAGAAGAACGTCGTACCACGGATATTCTCAGGTGTTGTTTGACATGATGAAAGCAAGCCTGGAGTAACTCCGGAAGATCGTAGTGTTCGGCGGCACAGATCAGACCGGGGATGGCATCGCAGGTGAGAGGACAGGATCCGCTGTGCAGGTACTCGATGAGGGTGCGAAAGGTGTCACTGTCGAACTCGATGATATTAAACTACGAGTTGGAAAAATCGTGTTAATTTTTGTCGGGAGTCGAAAGAAAACCGTAAAAAAAGACACCGTACTTGCCTCAGTTTTAGATAATTTCGTTTTATCTATCTTCTGAGCATCCGCGCATACGCTTAAGGACACTACGGGAGAGGTGGCTTCGTTTTTATCCGTTTTCTCTTTACCTAATTCAAAATGAAAGTCTTTCTCGATTTATCAGTTTTATAGATAAAAATTTCCGTCCATTTCTTACGACTTTATTAAATTAAATACTTCGAATAAAGCCTAAAATATTTAATAATTTCGATACAAACGATCAATAATTCACTTAAGAAGAAGTAAAGGTATTATTTCTCTTTACGCTATTTGTTCCTTCTCTAACCAAATATTGCCAAATTCGGAAAGGAAAAATAAACAGAATCACTTTAGTCGACGATAGAAGAGAAAAGGGGAAGAAAGATTCGACCGGTTTAATTCCTATAACGGGAAGAATTAAAAGAAAACTTACAAGAGACGAACTCGGAGAGAAAACGAAGGAAGCACTTATACAATAGGGAAGTAATAAGACGTGCGAGTTTATTAAATACTACAGCGTAAACACGTATTTGTTGGTCGAGTTTTCCGAGGGACGTAAGTCCGATAACTTACTTTAAACACACACACAAAAATTGGTCAATACTTAGATATTTAGAAAAGGTCGAAGGACGGTAGACAAGGAATAGTTTCGACCGTCGTTCGTTCTTCTTTTTCGTCTTTCATCAATATTACAGCGTATTTTGGAAAAGCAACACGGTCAGAAACATTATATTTAAATAGAACAGAGAGTGTATTTATTACGGTAAAACTTAAAATACGAAGCGACGTTTATCATTCTTTACGATTGATTACCATTCTTCGTGATACGTTTACTGGCTTAAGCAAGCGCGGTGTCGTCGTCTGATAAATGAAAGAAACACCACCCAAAATAGAACGACAAAGCTTCTTACTGTCGCCCATTACTTACGAGAATTTTTTAAATAAAACCGTAGGTTTTTATTATCGGTTAAATATATTACATTACGAAAACCTTGTATTGACAAACCGTCGACTTCCAAAACACGGGATGAAATTTCTGTCGTCTCGACGTTGGCCTTTATAAATGTCGATAATTACAGTCGATCCCCCCTATAACACTGTTGATTATTCCGTTTTATATGAATTCCATGTTGTACGAGTCACTTAGATTTTATAAATACGTGAGCCGTTCACAGCCCGGCACACATATTTGTAAAATCTAAGTGACTCGTACAATATGAAATTCATGTAAAAAGGAACAATCAACAGTGTTATAGGGGGGTCGACTTGTACAGTAGCTATCGGCAATTTCTTTTTTCATTCGAAGTATTTATTAAAACGACTTCCGGGAAATTTTTTCCGCTTCCAGTTAAAAGATAATGTTTCGGCTTCATACCTAATTCCGATGACGTGTTTTAATAGTGTTTTGTGGTGTAATTGTTATAGTAAATGTCGTTGTAATGTCGACTAAAATAATAAATGAAGTTTCTCTGAATACAATATTTAATTCGTGCTCGAATCGTCGTCGTCCTACGCACCTCTTACGTGTAAACAGCTTAATAAGTTTGATTCTGCCATCCGGAAACAACAACTTACCGTGGGAAATCTTCCAGAGATAAATGATATTTTATTTCTCTGTTTATTTATGAAACTAATTAAGAATACTCTTACTAAACGATGCCGTAAATGTCCGTAATATTTCACTACTTTTGTAAATACAGTAATTATTATACGCTTTACCAAGAAACCCAGGAAAAAACGTACAAGCGAAGTGTTTTATAACAGACAAAGTACCACGCAGCATATATTTAAAGCATAATTGAGAAAAATCTACGTATATATAATTACTAGCAGGTAAGACGGGCGTTGTTCCGACAAGAAATAAGAACATTAAAGATTATTAGCTTATTTCTTATTCCTAACCCTTCTATTACAGTGCCTGATTTATATAACTACAAACGTTATCTTACGCAAGAGTTTATCAAACCAAATGAACAATTAACACATTTTAAATGTGTTAATTGTAAGAATTGTATTTAGTTTTATTATTTTGCCAATAGATGGCGCTACATGTAAACCAGCATTTTTAAATGTAGATGGAAATTAATTAATTTACAGAATTCCAATAGATATTTTGGGGTGGGATGTATGCAATTCTCTAAGTTACAGGTGTATAAACGTAACTGCACAGTTTCGTAGCAATTGGTCGAACGGTCTAGCAGTGTATAGCGAACAAACAAACATCCTCATTTATATATATGTAGAGATTATACTGCAATAACTTAAATTCTAAATCCTAAAAACTTAAAATACTCCCGTCACCGGATCCGACCGTCCAACAAAGCCTTTCGATGATTGCGGTCCTAAGTGTAAAAAACAAAAAGTGCAACACTTCAGTCGATTTGCCAAGAACCGAGTTCGACCACAGAAATTAAATTGAGGAAGGAGAAAGATGGAAGAAATTAAATTAAGGAAGCTTACACAAGGGAGATACGTCCTTTACCTCCAACACTACGCACGGTATCCAATACCTGCCGGCTTTTATAAAATTGGGCAACACTCGAAAGAAGCCCGAGAGGCGAGAAACGAACATAACAGATATAATAGTGAACTATTTACGAAGAAATACAAAGAGATACAAATTTAGACGTGCCGAACAGACTTCTCATTGTCTCGGATTCATTTATAGCCAGTTTGTCAGCATCTTATATAAATAAACATAAAAAAATGAATTCCGAAATATTACATTTATTAGAGAACGAGGAGGAGAGAACTGTGGACTCATTAGACGAGTGTAATGTCATTAGTGATTCCCATTAAATGTTTTCTTATTCTGCTTTATATTCATAATTCTTTTTTCGATTTCGCTTGCATACTAATGTCTTTTTCAGGAAAACGGGCTCCTATTTAGATGTTACTAGAGTACCTAGATTGAATAGAGACAATGGGTTGTCAAATTTTCTGTTGATTAGTTGTATGACGTGGTTAAAATCCGCCGTGTTCTGACAAAAAGTGAGCGTGGTTCTGTATATTTCGAATGGTAAGTGTTCTTTTAAAGTCGTTTATAAAGAAATTTGAACACATTTGACAACAGGTAGACATGAATTTGCTATATTTTTATGTTTACTTTCATATTTAAGCTTTAATATAAGGCAACAAATGAAAAACAAATAGATAGTTAGCGTAGACGTTTACAGTAGATCCGATATCAGCTTATGTATTGTTATTTAAACGAAAAAAATATACAGTCGACTCTCCTATAACACTGTTGACTATTCTGTTTTATATGAATTCCATGTTGTACGAGTCACTTAGATTTTACAAATACGTGTACCGAGCTGTGAACGGCTCACGTATTTATAAAATCTAAGTGACTCGTACAACATGGAATTCATATAAAATGGAATAATCAACAGTGTTATAGGGGGCCGACTGTATATATAAACTGTTTGCTATATATTGCTATAGAAAAGTATTATTTATAATAAAACTAAACATTTACGTGTACTATAGTACCTAAAAAATTAGTTTGTTATCCTGCTCGAAACGAATTTAATTGTAAGACTTCTTTAATACATCATGTACAATAACAATGCAATGGCACACTAGTACTTTGGACCTTATTGAAAGGCAGCATTTGCACCATTTATTTGGTAATATGCGATTATTTAAAATATCATTTGTAAAGCTAATACAATTTAGAATGCATATAAAAATTCATTATACGAATGATTCTTTTACATACCAGTACTTTTGTATTGTTATTCTACCGAATGCATTAAAGGCGTCTAGAACCACGAATGTGGGACTTGACGGAAAGAAGAAATTAAAGCGTAATGCCATTCTTTGTTTTCATTCACAGAAAACCACCAAAAGGAAGATCCTCGACTGTTATAAAACAAATAAAGACTGCAAAAGTTACTTCTCCTGTACGTCCTAATCATACTACTGTTACACCATCAACAAATTTTGAAACATCTTCAATATTTATAGAAGTTTAAGAACAATGTAAAATTAATTTCGGTATAAAAGGGCAATATTAGTCATATTCTATCCTACTGTATCTACTGTAGGTACTCTAGGTCTACTATTATGAGGAGGCCATGACCAGTCGGTATAGCCTTGGAAGAAAAGGATGAAGAGTTATAGAAGTGAGAAGGTTTAAGAAAATGAAAAAATGACAGGAAAGTGTGAAGCATAAGATCTCAGAGCGTACGCCGAATGCCATTAATTAAACAAACCAGAAATACAATTAAATTACAGAATCTAGCAACATAATTAAAGAATAGCAACCCCTATGTTAGAGGCCCTTTCTGCACGGCTAAGTGCCCACTGGCTCATTTTATTTTCTCTCACCAGATGGCAGAACGACTTTTCCATTGTGTTAATTTTTTTATAGTATTCATTAAGTGTAAAAAATCGAGCGTTTAACTACTACTATAACAAACCCCCTCGTATTCCAATACCAGAATGCGGAGCTTCCATAATATTTTTTAATGGCGGCCACACGTTTAACAAACGAGGAAAACACCGGAAGTAACTTGCCACAACTAAACGATCGATGCTCATTCTTTCAACACAGACAGTAACGAGAAGAAAACCCGAAAAAGTCCACGTGGCCGGGTGTCGACACGTGACTGGCATTTGCTGGTTTTATTCACAGGGCCACTGGTGACGAGACGAGGTGGGTGCTTATTTACGAAAAGCGTAGACGGAAGGGGCCAATTTAACCAATCGATTTTTGCGGAATTATAATTTCAAACAGAACAGGCCGACACCCGCCAAGTCCACCGATGGCCGAATGGATAAAACTACGAAACACCGGCAGTCAATGGTGATCGGCGTCAGGACACTTCGAGTTTCTTGACGTTAGTAACATTTAAATAGGGACCGGGAGGCATTTCCCCAGGCGTTGCCATAAAGGAATAAAACTAAAACCGACACCCGCTGACCGAATTTGAAATACTATCGTTTGTAATGTCAGTAATTTCGTTATTTATAACGGGCAATCCCGCGCAGTTAGGCTAGAAAGCTGGCTTAAATGTAAAGGGACGAATGTTCGGGAGAGAATACTCACAATTGCATTCGCTCTGCCACCTCTTCAGCCCTTCCGGTTCCGAAAGAAGTTGGTCTTTGCTGGAGCTGCGACTGCCCAATCCCCAGTTCTTCCAGTTTCCCAGTCTAGAAAAAGCGCGGATCATCATGGGACTGCTGGGAGCGCTCTTGGTCCTGGGAGCTTCGTTCATTTCCGGAACCTGTCGATGGGTAAAAGAGAGAGAGTGGTCGTGTCCTTTCTTCTTCCGGTCGGCGTCGTCCTTACCTGTAGGAAATTGCTGGATTTGCCGGGAACGTTCAACGTTATCTTATCGATCGTCAATGTGTTTTGGCCGAATCCCGTGCTGAATCCGTACAGCATCTCCAGAAAGACCCTGAAAATCGGCAACGGATGTTTTGGGCGGTCCACTTTAATTAAAGGCAAAAGAAGAGAAATAATTACCTGCTCCTGACTCCTAAAATGGCCCTGACGGCGTATATTTTGGTCTTGCGTTTACCTAAAGTTTCGGACTTTTAGTGTCGTAATTAAAACAATAGGATTGGCAAGCCAGACTTAACACAATTGTTAGGAAGAATGGGGAATAGGGAATACGTACCTGGTCCCACGTTGAATGCCACGTCGCAGAAAACGGAGTCGGAACAAAAGGATTTGGCAAAGTCTTTAGCCAGCTGCTCCGGACTTTCGAAGGTGTCTCTGACGCTGTCCAGCAGAGGACTGGAAGGCCTGGTGTGTCCTATGGGTCTCCACGAACCCCTCCTGCCGAAAGACGCCCGGTGAATACCTCTGCTTTATCCTAAATAAGGACCTTCCACGGCCTTTCGATCCGTTTAAATATCCGCCGGGGCCATGAGAATTGGGTTGGGCCGCGAAGAAATTACCTGTAAGGCTTGGGAAGTTGTCCCGTTTCGGCGTGGTTGTGGAGGTTGGCCACGATCTCCTCCAGGATCTGAGTCTTGGTCCTATCCTAAAACGGAAAATCGCCCGGTTTACTGGCGGAATCGTCTCCCCTTGCGAAACAGGTCAAGATCTGGCGGGACTAACCTGCATTCGAACGAATTTCGGAGCGGAATAACTGGCTCTTTCTCCGTTTACTATCTTGGTCAGCAGCCATTCCCTGAAGACGGGACCCTGAAACCACCAGAAAAACCACTCTTTTCGGCCTCTTCTTTCTATCTTTCCACTTTCCAGTTAAATTACTATTATTATTATTCCAAATTTTCTAAATCCACCGCGGAAATTTCGCCGGAAAAAACTACCCGGAGATCGGAAACAATCCTCCACTTTCCGACACCGGAACCGGAAATCGGTGGAAAGCGAGCGCGTGGCGGGAGCCGGAAAGAAGAGATACTCACCGTGGAAAAAGTGGATCGGTGCCAAAGATAAGGCTTGTAGGACTTGACTTCGTCTCTGGAAACGACGGACACCTTCTCGAGAGGGGGGTAGAGTTTTAGTTAAAGTGGACACCCCGTTTGGAAGAAAAGGGAAAGTTACCTGGTAGGTGGTGGGATCCGAGCGGTCTTCCGGGTCGGTGCGGACCACTACGAAGGTGTGCAGAAAGTGCGACTTGATGCAGGCGGGCGAGAATCTAGTGTCTCTGGCCTCCAGAAAGACCACGCAGACGATGTCGTTGCCCACGTGCCTTTTTTTCTGAAGCTGCCGCGAACGACTGATTAGTCACCCCTCCGTCCGACTAAGAGAAAATTCCGGAAAAGTAACTACTCACCTTCTGAGGATCGTGATCTTCGTGAGGCAGAAGAGTGGAGACGTGGAACATTATCTCGATATTCCTCCAGTGGGTGTAGACCGACTCCGTCCCCGTCAGATCGTGAACCGTGTCCAGACCTCCTTTGTAGCGATCGAATCCTGCGTCGGATCCACCTTTATAACCTCCATCAGCTTTTCGTACGGCGCGTAATCCGGTCGCGGGCACGAAACTCCCTGGCTCCGTTCGTATTAAAAACGGATCGGCCGACCCACATTCCGAACATTTTTTCGGTATTCGTTTAACCGCCACCGTTTCGGCAAGTTCCCTATTTTCGCAGCCAGAGGAACAGAGAAGATAAGTGTGGTCTTCTGCACCCTTTCTTAAAACTATTGTATAATTTCGTCACAATACCAAATGTAAATACATTTTACGCTTTATTACGTAAAAACACCGACGAGGGACCACTTTATAGCAGTTCTTACTTCTCATTAAATGTAGTACAATAAATAAAAATTTTATACGGTTGCGTAACTTTCCCGGCTGTTAAAAATAACTTTTACATTATATTTTCAATAATAAACAAATAAAATTGCGTGTGACGCCATCTGTTATGAGATTTTGTTATTAAAAAATCTTTATAATTATTATAAAACGGAATAAGGCTTAATTTTGAGGATAGTGACGAGTTTGCGAAATATTGTAATTACTAATAACGCGTAATCTTCGTTATATCACATTGCCGTCGAAATATGACACGCGATACCCTTTTATCTCCTCACCCCCTCGAACTTTAACCACCAAAATTTAATAGCATCGACGCCCCTTATACACAAGCTACCGTGCCAAATTTCTTTACTTAACCTTTACTCTATTCTGAGATATTAACCGAAATACACAGGCGAGCCGAGTTTTTTGCCATTTTGTTTGGTGTTCGGGAGGTCTCAGAATGTAAAGATTTGAAAAATAAAATAAAAACTGGGACGGTCAAATCTGACGTGATTCCAATACTTTCCAGCCAGGATATGTCGTCAAGAGAAGCAAGTTCTTCATGTTGTGACGAAAAAACTGTTGTTGATAACTCTTTATACAGTGATGTATCAAAGCAGCATAGTGAAGTAAAATATTAAAGTGCAAAACTCAAATATAACCAATAAAAACGAATATAATTTATTGAAGCAATATTATATAATTACGTAGCATTGTCAGATGTACAAGATCGTGAATGATACTTATGATAAAAACATTCAAAACAAAAATTCTGTCTACACCAAGAACAACAAATAAATGCTGCTTTTTTACAATTGCAAGGTATGTTTAAACGAGAACTTGTTTAACTCCTTAAGGACATAGACATTTTTGAGATTAATTTATTTAAACGTAAAAAATACTTAAAAACTGAAAAAAAANAAAATACTTAAAACTGAAAAAACGAAAGAAATGCGTTTATTTTGAAAAAAAAGCTTCAATGTTTATCTTCCTTTGTCTCGCCCTTCTGTGAAATTTAACACCGATGAGTCATTGTTTACACATCTGGATGACCTTGAACACAGCTGGAGTTGGATTTCCCGGGACATTCTCATAGACGTCTCGGGATGACAAGGGTTTAAAGTAGGGTGACTACTAGCTAGGCCTATATTTTTAAATATTTTTAAAAAATTGAAATTTTAATTGCGATTTCCGACCCCATCTAATTAATTAAATTTATATATAATAAAATATATTAATTAAAAAAATTAAAAAACTATCGGAGGTCGTTTTTGACATCAGAAACTAGCTTTAAATAACTTTAAGGAAGGAAAATCCGTGCGCTAGAACTTTAGAACGATGAATTAATTTGATAAAAAATCCCATTAAAAAACAATTAAGCCTTAATCGAGCCTTATCAAAGACTCATTAAAATCGCGATAAATTTTTTTAGCGCGGGAAAAAAATTTTGAAAAAATTTGGAGACAAAAAACATTCCAAAAATTCAAAAAAAAAAAAAATTTAAAAACTCCCCTTAAGGACAGCGTTTTATGTAACGCTATGTAACTTTCCCGAGTTTTCTCGGGTTATGGGCTTAAGTTATATAATATGTTAAAATAAATAAATAATAAGAAATGAATGAGTAAATAAATAAATACATTATAAGTATTTATGAATTAAAAAAAATTATACGCGAGAATCGAACCCGAGAACTCAAGCTTATGAATCGGACTCGTTACCACTCTACCACAGAACACTCAAATAGAAGTACGTATAATTTATATATAAAGTGCTAAAAAACTTTAAGCTCGATTTTCTTGATTTTATTTGAGTATTGCACTTTAGTATTTTACAGGTAGTACACTCACATGGTGTACTACTTATACACCAAAGATTGTCAAAATCCGTTACCCCAAAGCCGTAGGCTCTCCTTGTTAGATTAGACACGGAATTAAAAATCTCAGACTCATCATGGCGAGATGCTCAAAACTTACATTATCCCGTAAATAAGACTGCGCGATTTCTCATCAGATATACCGTGTCTCCCACTAAATTTCCTGTGAATCCATCGACTAGAGAACACAAGGGTCGGCTGGGATATTTTGATAGATAGTTAACTCTTTTGCAACGTCGTCGACACTCGATTACACGTCGTAAAATCCGTTTACCTCCTTTACTTCTAGTCTTTAATCTTCCGACACCGTTTCGGTCCCATTTATATCGGACGAACGAGATTATTGTCGATTTTAACGCGAGTTCTTTTACGTGGCAAAGGAAAGGGTTTATTATATTCGCGAAGTGGGTTAAACGCCGTAGTTGAATATCCTTCCCTTTGGCGATGAAAAAACTTGCCAAAAAGATGGCGATGGAAGAATATGCCGTTCCTGACGGATCGGCGGGGGTAGGGTTTCCCGATTGTTTTTCGGGTTCGGGCCCAGTCCGGAGGCCGGAAGTAGGGGCCCGCCTGGCGACCGAGTGGATAAAAACCGCCCAAGGCCGGTAGCGAGGAGACCAATTTCCGAAATACGCCGGCCGTACGGGAACGTAAATAACAGGCCGATTTAATGGATATAACCGGGAGGCGGAAAGAAAAGAAAAGAATTTTTAAATAGAGAATTCCGAAGGACGCTTCTATTTGTATAGGAAGACTCCTATTAATAAAGCGCCGATTCGACCCGGCCGTGGGGAATCACGTCATCTTCTTCCTCCTCCTCCGGTGACGGCGCCTTCCGCACTTCCGACTGTGAAAATATTTGACGGGAGACGAGCGGGAATTCCGCACAATTATTAGAAAAACCAGGAAGAGATAAAGGAAGCTCCGGATGACGAAGTCCGATCCGTCCCCAACGCGCGAAAACAAATTTTTGGAGCCAAATTTACCACGAGTAGCCGGAGAGAAACGGACCGGAACTAGAAACGGTGCCGACCTTTCAGACGCACTCTGTCACCCAACAGGTGGAGAAACTCGTCGAACAGAGGACCGTGCCGGCGGTTGCCCAGAATCTGTTCCTCGGTCACCTGACCCTCCTTGACGTAGACGACTCCCACCTTCAGCTCGGACTTGACGAAAGCCTGCAACGAAAGGAGTCAGCGAGAAAAGCTCCCCCGTCCCCCCTCGCGGCGCTTACCTGGTCCAACTTGACGAGTTCGTCCGGGGTGGACTGCAGCCGGCCCAATTTGGGAAGAGGCTTGAGCCCGGCCTGGCGACCGATGGCCCTCACCACCTCTTCCCGATCGTAGCGATCGGCGCAGAGACCGGAAGCGGGAACCAAGCCGTGCAAGTTGTAACTGACGGTCCTCATCAGGATCCTGCCGGGGGCGAAGGAGGTTAGAAGGAGGGAGGCCAAAGTCCGTCCGGCGGGGGCGAAATTTACCTAAAGTGGTCCCTGGAGTCGACCACCTCCTGCTTGAGGCTGAGGACGACCGGACCCAGCGACTCGTCGTTGGTGTAGTAGTTCCAGTGTTCCGTTCCGTAGAAGTACTTGGCGTAGGTCTCTTCCTGGTAGCTGGTCAGTCGGAAGGGTCCCACCGGGCCCTCCTCCGGACGGGAGGAGTCGTCCCTGCAGCACTCCACCCAATATCCGGGAGCGGGTCGGATGCCGTGGGGATAGAGGGGACAGTGCGGACTGCCGGCGCAGGCGTGCACCGGAAGCGGAAAGTGCAAGGAGCTGGAACTCTTCCTCCTGGCCTCGGCGCAACCCAGACTCTGCCTCTTGAACTCCCTCAGCTTCTCGGCCAGTTCGGCTCCGGTGGTGCGACCGGTAACGTCGACGTAGTGCGCCCGGCAGTACACCTCTTTTCCCAAACGCCGGGCCGCCTCGCCGGCGGGCCGGAGCCCGCAGACGGCGCAGGCCAGGCAGCGCCGGTGGTAGAAGTCGCCTCCCCCAGCCGACCCTTCCGGCCACCGACCCCCGCTCTCCCGGTCGGAGACGGGACGGTCGCAGACGAAGCACGGGCCAGACATCTGCCGGACAGACGAGTCGTTAACCGCCAACGCGCTCGTGCCGACGATTTAATATATATTCCGGGCGTTCGTCCCCCTATCGGCGGAAAAGTAAATCCCCGGCGCCGTCTTCTTTCCCCTCACCGGAGATTAAGGAGGCCCCTTCCCGGGAAAAGGGGGTCGGCCGCCGGAGAATTATTAATTATTCCGGCCTCTAAACGTTAATTAAGGATTTTTCTGCCCGTATCGATCCACTCGGAGATCGCCGCGCCGACCGCTTTTCGCACCGTGCCATTTAAGCTCGGTGTCTTCCGTCCGAATGGAAAACCGCGCCCGAACGTTCTTCCCGAAACCTTCCCGTTCTTCCGTCGGTCCGGAAGTTTTCCCCGCCCGAGAGCCGGGCGGACGTTGCGCCGGAAATAAGAGAAAGGCGCACCCACCTGTGGCCGGCCGAATCCGCGTCCGGGGTCGGGCGACCGGCGACGACGGTCGGGCGCCCGACGCGCCGGCTCCGCCCCGACCGCTTCTCCTCTCCCGTCTCCCTTCTTCCCGCGTTGTCCTGGCAACGGCCGGCCAATGGCGTGCGGGCGCGGGGATCGATGCCGCCGCGCGAAAAGAGGAGGAGGAGGAGAAGGAGGAGGATGAACTCTTCTTTAATTTTTTGAAAGTTTCCGCTCTTCTCTTAATCGTTGCCAATTTCTTCCCTTCTTTCGCCGAAAACGAGATTAGACGGCGAAGTACCGCCCTCCTCCGGGCGGTGGGGTCCAAATGGACCAAAGGCGCGAGCGTCCTTCTCGGGGTAAAAGTATATTTATTATTTTTAACGGCTCCGTCGGTTAGTAACCACACGCGTCACGTTTTATAAATAGTTTATTATAAACAATACATTCCCGTTAAGACGACGGTACACATTTTATACAATAACTTTAGATTTTATATATATATATATTTACGTTTTTATATATATAAATTTGGATTTATATATATATATATATAATAGGTGTATAATTACAATAGGGTGACCGGCGTGGGTTTCTTTCCGGGCTCGCTCACGATCGCTGGCGGGAATTCTTGTCGTCCGCTTCCGCCTCTTCGTCCATCCGCATCAATTTGGGAGGGGAATCTGTCCAAAGGTAAAAAAAAAAAAATGGTTACCGGCTTCCGAAATAGAGCGAAAGCGTCCGGCGCGCCGACATACCGGAACGGTCTTCGGCCTCCTCCTCCTCTTCCTTATCTTCCGCCGCCTTCTTCTTTCGGCCGGCCTCCTCTTCGTCTTCCGTTTCGGCGCTCCGCCGCGACATCTGTCGAGTTTCTTCTTCCGCTTTTTCCGCCTCTGCGGGGAGAAACCGGAATCAGCACCCGGAGACGGAAACCCGGCTGGAAGAGCCCCGGCCCACTTACCCGTTTTGTCGGCGCTCTTCTTCTTGCCTTTCCTGGACCCGTGAGCCTCGTTTTCCTCTTTGCCTCCACTCCCGTTGCATTCCTCTTCTCGACTGAAACGACAAAACCATTTCCTCAGTCGGCAGACAAATTCTCCCTAAAAGCGCCGCTTCGTTTCTTTCTCGCATCTTTCCCACGGCCACATCCTCCCGGGCTAATGCGTGGAAAATCCAACTATTTCCCGCGTCGAACGGCCGATGCGCATCTTACACCCGAGTTTATATACAGCTCGAAAAAGACCCGGAAACGTACCGTGCATTCCACCTTCTGGTACGGTGGTTCCCGAAGTGGGCGGCAGGGTACCAAACGATGACCGTAAACCGGGGTCGGGTAGCCGACCACCTTCCTCTCTCCTCTGTTAAAACGGTAAGAAGAGAGGGGGCGTTAAATGATTTCCGGATGCCGAGAACGACGTAGGTTAGAGGCTAAGTTTGAGGTTAGTAGAAAAGTTTTCCAAAGAATCTATCCCTGCCTTTCTCGCATCCGAAAGAATGAGTTAGGGGCGTCGGGCATAACTTTTCGGAACCGGGAGGGGGGAGCGAATGCTGGAAAAAGTTTGGGAATTGCCGTCCTAGTACAGGGACTAACAGGCAAAATATACGTTGATTACTTTTCCCAATGTTATTTATATATCCCGTAGATGAAACGGGTGGAACCGGCTTAAAAGTGAAGCTGGGAGAAAACGTCTAAATAAAGGAAACTTCCGAAAGTCGTGGAAAGCAGATTTGATGCGTGAATAAAGTGCGCCTTACGCAGACTACGACTACACGGACGTTTCGGACCGAGCCGTGTCACCGCGGTGATAAATCGGGAAAACTGGCACCCCGTCTCGAAAGCTCTGTCTTCCGAATCCCTGGCCGACACCGCTCGACAATACTCTAACCTCCGGTCAAATTATTGTAAGTGCGGGAACTTTAAGACACAAAGTTCCGAGCCGTTTTCAGTGACTACGCTCGTTTTCTTGACTTATTATCTATCGCTGTGACATTGTTTCGTCAGTTTTACTTTCCCGGCTGTTATATATAACGAAGGAAAAGTATGACCATCGGTCAAAAAAGACCCGTCCCGAGATTTTTACATTTGACTCGGAATCTCGAAACTTCGAGAAATGCAAAAACATTCGGGGTTTTTTCTGTCCGATTGGATATTAGTATGGGGGAGCACCATTTTGTTCCTCCTCTTTCAAGCTTAATAACCCCCGTGCTTTTCGTCAGAAACTGAAATTTTGTAGAGGGGTTTATGGATTAGAACTGATGCTATTAAATTTTGGTTAAAAGTCGACGGGGTGGGAAAAGCGAGTCGTATCTCCAGTGGTGTCGGACAATGATGATTTTACTGGTTATTGGCATTTATAATTTTTAAAAAAATAAAACTCAACCCTCAAAATTCATGGCAAAATGCTTAATAATATACAAAATTTTAAAGTAATGGTTCATCATTTTTTGGAAGAACGAATCGGAAGGAAAAGCATTTATCGCACCATCGAACGTTATAATAAGAATGGAATCGAAGGTAAAAAGCTTCAAATTCGGCATGCATGGACACTGAAGACAAAAAAACCAATGAAAACAAAGTAAAAAGTTTATTTTGTAAGGATCCGTCGATGTCCATAAGAACTGTGGTACAGAAATTGAAAATTCCCCCAAAAAAGGTCTACGATATCCTGTATTAAAATAAAGAAGCTGGGGATTGAGGCAAATATAAACCAACATATGCCCAAGTACTGGGATAGTCAGGAAATCTGAGCAAAATCAGGATGTCGCAGAATGTATGAAACATCTTTGAAGAAAATCCTCATTATTGATAATAAAACATATGTTTCCTTCAACCCTTCAGATGTACTGTACAGTACAGTACATACCAGGCAAGAAGTATTAGCATGCAGAAGACCCAAAAGTCATCTACGGTAAAAGATCAAATCTCAAGCTAAATTCTGCAAATAGTATCTCATCTGGAGAATGATGGACTGATTTGGCAATGTATCTAAACCCTACATTTCTTAAGGCACTATTGTGAGTGAAGTTTACTGAAACTAATGCATTCAAGGCAGGCTTATACCCTTCATAGATCAGCATTACAAGAAGAAAAGTTTTTTCTTTTGGCCAGACATGGCGACAGCCCATTATGCAAGAAAAGTCGTAGAAATCTTTTAAAAAGAACACATGAATTTTGTATAGAAGATGAAAAAATGCCACTCCGAGAAATGTGGAATTCAATGCTTGAAATGGAATTACAAACTTGCAAAGTAACAGTGGAACACAGTTTTTTGTAACAGAAGAAACTGTCAGAAATACAATTTCAGACATTATGTGGCCATACTGTTACAATGTACGTATTTATATAAGAGTTTAAACTCAAAGCTGAAGAACACTAACCAGAATTTGAAATTACGATATTCTCGTCTGAATCAATTCTTTTCTCATTAAATTGTTAAATGACATTTTATGCCTTAAGAAAACTATGATACTGTTAACTTTATTTTAATATATCCTGCTCTTATATATAGTGTGTCCAAGAATAGTCGTGTCAGGCTTCTCTCTCGGTTCCTAACAAATATTAATATATTGCTGCATTTTTACTTGCCATTGTATTTTCATAATTTAACCTTTTAAACTGTTGCAACTTTAGTGTAGTTTTATCATTTCGAGATTTTACACAAGATACCGAAAGTATAAATGTTAATAAGGAATAAAATCTTCATTAGGTCCTGCCCCTCTCGACATATGACACCCTTTTATTTCCTCCTTTAACCACCGAAATTTAATAGCATCAATGCCCCTTATACAAGCCATCATGCCAAATTTCATTTTTTAATCTTTATTCCATCCTGAGATAATAAGCAAAATAAACACCAATTATTTTTTGCCTTTTTTGGATTCAGGAGGTCTCAAAATGTGGATATTTGTAAAAAAAACTCCAAGGGTCAAATTTGACACAATTCCGATACTTTCCCTTGTGTATACACAACAGCAGGGGAAAGCTGATTAAAGATTTTCTTTACAATAACAAGATACTGTAGAGAAACATTCGTGTTTTTGTTACTACAGGTCAGGCTCGGTTTATATGTAATTATTCTTATTGTACTGTATGTTTTCATTTATTTTATTTGACAATGATTCTTAATTTGACACCTTGAAACCTCTGAAGCAGTGTTTAGATTTAATGATAGGTAAATAGTAATACTATAGTATACTTTATTTTTCCATTTAGTATTGATAACTTATTATAAAATTATAGAATGTAGTTAAGGAATAAATCAAATCAAAAAATGGAAAAATAAATAATACCATAATATAATACGCCTTATCTATTTATATACATGTAATATTTGTCCTGGTGATTAGTGCTTTTAAACTATTGCTCACCTTGACGCATCGTCAGTCAACTGCTTCTCTTTGGTGGCGGATTTTCCGTCACGAACTTCCACTGCCTTTCGTTTTTTGTTAGGTTTTCCAACGGGTTTTGCCTCGACCTCTTTTACGGGTTTATCACAATCGATTTGTTCTTCGCTGTTGTTTCTTCTCATCATTTTACGTTCTTTCAAAGGATGAAGGAAACCTTCTGTTAGGAAAGCTTGGTATCGCTTTCCTTTGGACGATCTTTGAGACTTTCTCTGGCCTTCTTTGGAAGGAGAACTGGTTTCCGATGCATAATCATCACTGACATTGTTGAGAGCATCTGTTGGGTTTTGCAATTTTTCTGAATTTGTGACCATTTTTGAAGATGCATTTTGGTTTTGAGAAGAGTTATTTTGTGACTTTTTCTGCAGAGACTTTTGTTCCACTAATTTCTCCTCGTCGTCTGCAATGTTCACACCACTATCTTTTTTATCATTTTTAAAATGAACTGACTTGTCATTTTTATTCAACCCTGTTTTTTCATTAAAGTGTACCTTTGCAGTTTTGTAACTACCAACGCACTCCACTTCCCCATCTGAAGAATTGGTTTCATCTCTAGACTTACTAGAAGTCTTGGTATTTTTATCACAGTAAGGTAACTTTTTATGAGAATTCATTCTCAGGAGAAACGAATCTAAAAGAGTACCTTTAGATTCATTTGGATCACAAAAGAACTTATCGACCATTCGACTAATAAGATCCTGTTGACACGTCGTGATGGTCTTCTTATCCGTACACAGATTTAATGGTTCTTCCGGTCGAGAATTTGAAATGTTCGCATTCCCGGAAGGCGACGAGCTGCACGTCTCGAACAGGTCGCTATCTCTGATGCGACCAGCAATGTCGACGTCAAAAATTGGAATCTGATTGTAAGACGAGGTCCCAGAAGATATTGTTCTAGACATTGAAATGTCACCCAGTGCACTACTCGAAGCTTGCGTATAATTACAGTTAACATTTGTTTGATAATCACTCACTGATCCATAAGTTTTATTAGTAGAATCTCTCACAGAATTCAGATTACAAAATGAGCTGCCAGATGCCTTTGTTGTATTGGAACAAACCTATAAAGAAAAGTATTTTAGTACCTAACAAATAATAATATACATAAATACAAACATTAATATTGATGACACCAAATGGATTTTGTAATAAACCACGGGTGATTAAAAAGTTTTCATTTGTAAGGAATGGGATTGGTCAACAAAGTATCACACACGCAGCCTCCAAGGTCCCTAGAAGAGATGCCAGATTTAAAATGTTAAAAAGAGCCAAACTGTTATACATCCAATAGAGAAAAGTTATAAGTCAAACTTCAGATAGCAAAAACAAAAATTCCTAAAAAGACAGCATGAAAGTTTCTGAAGCTAAAAACAATTCAGTAGAGGACACTTACCACCATTAAAAAACAGATGCAGAGAAGTTTGTAAGGAAAGAAGAAAGAATAAAAACTGTCTAAAAAGCAAAATTTTTCTATGCTGTCAGATTTTGACACCAACTAGCCCTGAAAATTCTTTGAATTCAAGAAAGTCAATCTGGTTCCTAGACCTTGGTGCATTTGAAGGTTGCAGTGCACTGAGTAAAATAGACAACACACTGACCAACTTCATTATGAATGAATGAGATGCATCCACATGTGCCATCTATGTTACAATACATATGAACTGTTTGTGAGCATAGAGAATTTTTCCTATGTTTGGAAACTTTGAAACACACTGTAAAAGAAGTCTGAAATTTCAGCAACTTGAAATTAATTGTATATCTGTCATAGTCTATACAAAGATATATTTTAAACCATATAATTGCCAGAAGGACTTTTTAGCAATTTTAAATACTTAACTGGAGGGGTCTCTAATAAAGAAGTGAAAAGGGACGTAAAAACTTTTGAAAATATTTTTTGTTATTATTATTATTAAAACATGTATAATATGAAAGTCTTGAATTTATTGTTTATACACAGACAATAATTTATCTATTCCATAGATTTATACATTAAAACTTATATAATAATCATATTCTAACAATTGTGTCTGTTCACAAAAAAAAAAGAAGTTTGAAATAAATGACTATCTTTATTTAAAAGTACAAGGAACTCAATTCAAATGTAGAAATTTTTAAGTATAGACATTAAGGGACATCATGTAAATTATTCACTTTTGGAGACACTTGCCAAATCTACATCAAAACAACTATTTTATCAGTTAATACAATTACAAGAACTGTTTAAATTTATATTATATTATGTCATGTTGTATGAAGAATTGTAATGATTATAATATATACTGTGCAACATACATACATACAGGCATTTGGAAGGAAAGTTCTGCTAATAGTCTGTAAAGACAGACTGAGTAGAATTTTGTTAGTACATTGTCATCTCAGAAGAAAAACAAGAAATGTCAAACACTGTAAGGAACCAAAGTCCGAGCATTATTTTTATTTACTTTTATTTTGCTTATTATTCTATTTTTGTTTAAGTTTTATGTTTTGTCAGGACGAAGGTTTCCTCACCATTCACCTTAGTAACTTAAAAATAGAAGAAAAACCAACTCACCAACGAAAGAAAAGCGCCATAGAAAAATGTTATTGACAAACTTTGTCACTATTTAATTCGGTGCACGCTTAAAGTCCAGGCCTGGCACACTAATGCGAATCCGCGTAAAGTACCCGTTAGGGAACGGCTATTTCCGGCACGCAGTAGTGTCGATAATCGTTGGAAAAGTCGGAAAAATAATATAGTACTTTACAACACTACTGCTAATATATCTATCAGATATTCTTAAATCATGTCACAAAATGAGCAGACAAAATAAGATTGTGGAAACACCATATTATCATCTTGCCTGTTACAAAAGACAATTTTTGTGTTTTTCAATTAAATTCCTGAATCATGGAGTACAAATAAGTGAAGATAAGAGTTGTGTGACCTAGAAAAAAGTTATCAAAAGTTGTTTCCAATAACCTTGAAAAGAAACAAACATTAAATCCTTACAGAACTTTGGCTACTGTTACTTAATAACAAAGGACTGTACTTTAACATTTGAATGGATATTCTACCAAAATATTTCATCATCCACCTTATAGCTTTGTTCTTGTAAGCCCTCCAACTTCCACCCATTTCTGCACTCAAAAGGCACTTTTGGCAGAAAGATGATTCGACGGCAACAAAGAGATGAATAACCATACAAAATTAGTTAACAATCTGGTGGCTAACTTCACACAACACAAAGTTTCTCAATTTTGGATGCAATTACATGAAAAGCAATTAAATATGTGTGAAAATTTGTTTACATTAATTAAAGGAATGTCCAAAAAAGTTTCTCTGAATCCTTCTAACCAATTAGACCTTACTTTCAAAATGCCCATTTCTAATCACGCACATAAGGCTGATTAAATTTTTAAAGTAATTCTTCTGATATTGTTCTAAATTTTAAAAAAGTCCATAATTTAGTTTGCAAAAATTTGATTACAAGCTATAGTCACTGTTGTACACATTTTAACATAATGAAACAGCAAAGTACAGACTTAACAAAAAGAAAACACTCAAACTAAAATCTCTACGAAAATTAAAAAAAACTTCTCTTCAAACCAAGAGTGTCAAACTTTTTCCTGTATTATTAAAAGAACATAAAATTATGATTCATGAAGTGCAAGCCAATAAACATCAAGAAGATAAACGGGATTATTGGAATTAACAAATTTCTACTTGTTACATTTTCATTTCAATATTATAATACTGTCTCATAAAAATAATTTTTATAAGTACATCTGCCAACCACTTTAGTCACAAGTAAATCTCATGAAACTATATGTATAACAGTATATGAGGACTAATCATGAATCTGTTAGGATCACAGTTATCAAGATGGAGAATAAAAAAGTTGATGTTAGAAAATGGAGAAATACAACAGTTAAATGATATCAAAGAAGTTGAAGATGAAAGAATAGGTTAAGCAAACTTGACAAGAAAATGAAAGAGAAAACAAGCAATTATTTATTGTGACATCATAATCCAGGCTGCAATATTTAATCATATATTTAATTTAGAATATATGATCTCCACTTCAAATTAGTAGTGACTTGCCCCTGTATATTATACTTTTCCTTTAAACAGAGTCGTGCTGGTCATCTATCTAAGACCTTTTGAGGGAAAATTTTTGAATTGAAATAGCATGACTTCCAGTTTGCATTGGAAGTTCTTATACAGTTAATTGGGGCCTCCTGCCTGTAACATTTCCATATCTGGTCTCATCTTTCATCTATCTAACTCTGTTCTTGAGACTGAGGAAGGACAGATGACAGTGGGCATTTATAGGTCTACAATTTTTTCAAATTGAAGTCCAATAACAGCATCCAAAGCTGAAGAAAAAATCAAAGTAATGGAAAACGACTATAAGAATACAAAAAGATTGTAGCAATCTGAATAGTGAGGCTGAAGGATTTCATAGATAAAATAGAAAGGATGAGCAATAGTACAAACTATGTCAATAGTCAGGTAAATCATGTTGGTAGTAATGAAACATGTAGAAGTTATAAGATGTTAAGCTACCTTGACTTAAAATCAAGTGACATAACAGAATGATCTGTTTTTTGGAGTAACTTCTCGTTGGTAATAAATAAAAATGGCAAGCTATGGGAAATAAACAAGTTTAATTATTTACAATCACTTATAACAAGCAGTGTTTAAATGCATCAAAGGTTTGTCCCTAACTAAAGCCAACTATAACATTGCTACTCAAAGATTTAGCCTTCAAGCTTGGAACTTTTTTAATATGTGAAGACTTCCACCTCTTTCCTGAACTGGAAACATGGCTAGCAGGGCAGAGGTTTGAGATTAATGATGATCTTCAAAACAATGTTGTTAAAGCCATCTCAATTCACTAGCAGCAACATTCTATGGAAAAGCTTGTCTGCAGATATCACAAATTCCTCAATCTTTACAATGATTATGTCAAATAAATTCATTTTGTTATTTACACTCGTCATTGTTTTATGGACCATCGGAGCTTGAAAAAAAACCGCCCTCGTACTTTCCTAATTGTTTTGTGTTCATAGCTGTGAGATAAAAACAATTCCCATTCAGGATGATGATAATGGCAACAATCCAGTGTAGTTCCATTTTGCTTTTTAAAATTTACTTCCTTAATTTTTTAAAGTAATATTTTAATTAAAATTGTTATATTATATGAATTTTTTATTCCAAGTATCCATCTTGCACAGAGCCAATCAACACAATTTTAAATCAGTCTTTGTTTTATAAACATAGGGTTGTCCATAATCATTTCGATCAGTTGGTATACACATAATCATCATGTTGCCTTACAAGGGGATGGAAATGTTAAAAAAAATGATGTAATGGATCTCAACCCTCAGATAGCAATGATTAATTTTTGTTTCCATAGAATTGTATAGCAAACCCTACTGTTTATGTTATTGCTTTGTACTGTACATAATTAATAAAGTAACAATGTTTAGTACCCCTTGCTGTGTATTATTTCTTAGTACAATTAAGGAATAAATTTAATATATGTAGAAGTTTAGCTTATTCACTATCCAGTATATAGTTTATTTTATGTTTACTAATGGCTATGCTAGCCAAACTATATAGAAGGCTAAAACTTAAGTTAAAATATGCATTAAGTAATTTTGAGGATGGCTATATGATGCATTATGGAGCATTACCTGGGATAAAATGGTGGTTGAAAAATACAAAAATAATGTTATGTAACTTATGAACAATCCAATTTATTGATTCCTGCAGATTCCTAAAGACCCTTATAATTATTTAACTGTAATGAAAGCAGATACAATCCACATTAAAACAAAAATATTTTATTCAGACTGTATCATATATAAGCAAGCATGACTGTGCCATGTGCCTACTAGTTTACAATATATAAAATTTAACAAATATAATTAATCTACACCTAAGAGAATAATCCTGTATCATAATGGAGAATAATTCTAGCAAAACAAAAACTATCCCAAATCAACTCTTCAATATTTACAATGCAATTCTTTCAAGATTTCACTTATATCTTTAGTTATGCTAGTCAGCTGTAAT